TTTATTAGCTTTAATTCGTTTGTGCCAATTTGGCTATAGCTGAGTCCCCGCACCTTATTCCTGAGCGTTTTAATATTTTTCTCTGACAACTCTGGCAATCATATATGCATAGAAAATGACAAGTGAGGCAGTTGTTTTATTTTGACACTGGCTTGAAGTATGGCGCCAGAGTTTTATATGAGTCATTAAACCTGCAATTTGCTTGCATGTGAAAAACTAACTAACTAGACTATTGGTCTTATAATTCAGCCTGGCCTTTACACGTCGGGGTGGCAATAAATTCAGTTCAAAAGTCGAATTAAAATATTGATTAGCGAATGCAATAACATGTTAATATAAAAGAGTTTCATGTATAATTTCAGTCGGTATTGTGGAACAGCACATCTAAACGACTATCCTTTACACAGATGCTGAATCTCACACATCTCCCTCTCCCTTTTTATATATCTTGAATACTATTTGTGTGCGTAAATGTGCGTAAGAGTTCCATATTGCTGTGCGGTGGATTCCAGCTAACTAACTCCTAAATACAAAGGATGGCTGGCTGCTTTACGCTGTTTAAACTGGACGCTCATTCAGAATTATTTCAGTCAATATTCGTTATGCACTTCAGAAATATTTGTATTAAAAGGGGGAGGATTTATTTTAGCTTCAATGTAATTTGATCCGTGATCAGTTTTTAAACAGGTTTTTAGATCTGATTGTGTATTGCTTGAACATATTATTTTATTTTTCTTCTTAAAAAAGAAAAACAATGCATCAAATGGACAGAATTGTTAAAAGTAAATAAGAAACTATGATACTTTTCAACGTGGATATTTCCTCAGTGTGGGTATCCTAAAGGCTGTCTGAAGGCCTTGGAGTTCAGGAATGGAGTTCAGTAATACCAATAAAGGTATTCTAACCGAGAAAATAAAACTCTTAAAATATGTCTATATTTATAGATGATTTTTTTATTTATAGATAACTCTTGATTGTGTCACACAGTGGAATATTAAGACATATATATTATTTAAAATGTTTTTATATGGTCAAATGTACTTACCTTTTGTATATAAATGCATTAAATATAATGAATATCCTTTTGTAAAAAGTGTTTTGTTTCAATTCATTCAATGCACCACTATCATGATACTAAAGTTCATGAGCATATAAATGTGATATTGAGTCAGAATGCTGCAGAAAGACAGGTGAAGTAATTATTTCTATTTATATTTTCTGCTCGTTATCTAGACCAAAGCAATACAAAATAAATATATAATATTTTTATCGTATTAGAGAGGTAAAATATTCGAATTAATTATTGATAATACAACAACCATTAGACTTAAAACGCTGTAATGAACATGTAAAGAAATAAGTGAGGTTCTTTTATTGAAAACCAGTAGTCCAAAATAATGTTTGGGCCAGAACATAAAACCTCTTTATGAGTTGCTGTGTATGTGAGACGAGGAGAGCATGCCGGCCTAAAGGGGTTAGGCCTATCACTCTTGAGCTAATTTTCTCTCTGCTAACTTTCTTACTTAACCGCGGTCTTCGTTAAGATTGCTTATATAAACTCATAAATATGCTCTGCTCTTATTGCCTCAAAGGTCGCCCGGCCTCCTGATAGGCTCCATAGCAATCCTCACTTATTGTCACACAAAATCCAGTCATGTCTGGAGAAGTAAAACAATTAATAAATTGTTGGTTACCATAATAAGACAAACCAACCTCGACTAAAGCAAAAATGAATTAAAACTAAATAATAAAAAGATGGAAATGTAAATAACTCCTGTATCATTCTGAGTATGATTTAGGCCTATTTATGCAGAAATTGCATGCAGGTTAGCCGCCTGGTTGCTTTATCCTCACCTTTCCTTGCTGTACCATTATTTCATTATGTCAGTCTCGTTAAATTTCATTTGAGTCCAAGCTTTTTAATTCTTTACTTTAATTTCGTTCTGTTAAAGCAAAGCAGCAGCTGCCCTTATCTCTTTTAGTGAAGCGCTCTTTCCTTTATTGTCTCCCCTCAGCCAGTTGGATGTATGTGATAAACACGAGTCTGGATGCATGCAAAATGTGTAAGTAATTCCTATATATCCTATACTGAAACTCAGACGAGGTTTTATTGTTTGACATCCATTTTCTATCTATCCTGCGTAAGATGTACCATCCCTTTCTCTGTCGGGGCCTCAACTGCCCATAAATAAATAAATAAATCCCCATTTAGAAATCCATCCGACATTCTAATGCAAAATCTCACCATGAGCCATGGTACATTTCTGTCTAATTTACAGACGATATGGCTCAGAAAAAAACCTGTCAATTTAATTAATCCATCATCAATCAGTAGACCTACTTGGCCTATTTTTTTCAGACCAATTTTTAATCATGAATATGAATCAGTAAAAAAACAACTCTGTTCGGATGCCGAGGCCACGTCCAACGCAGATTTCAGCCTCAAAACAGGTGTCGTCGCAGTTTAAGAGAAAAGGCAGCCGCTGTGATCACCTCACAAAGTTTTGCCCTACATCCCGACACAGGAATGCTGTGGCGCTGCTCCAAACGCAGCTCCATTATTATTTCAGATCAGACGCGGGGCCGTATACTGCGTGTCATGCTTCTGTAAACTCTGAAAAACGATGACACATGCTTGGCTGCACGTTAGGACACTTAAATGCTGCAGGACACCAACCATCCGAGTGACATGTAAGTAAAAGCGTCATCCCACCAGGCGAGATCCCACAACCTACCTTACACCGCTCAGTCTGCGGGCGGAGGAGCGTCTTAAAGCCTCGACGGCGTGCTGCAGGAGACAAGACAGGGCAACGGACACATGTGAATACGCAGGCCTTTTTTTATGACAGCACAGCTGACTGCTTCTGCTTGCTTCACAAGATGGACAAGAAACGGCGAGTCGTGGCACGGAGAGCGACACACGCACAAGTTCAACGCCGCACGCTTCACCTCTGATGTCAACACGCACTGTGGGAACTCGGTAGACGGGCGCCCCCTCTTGGTCGTATTTGGTGTTGCAGCTGTGCCTTCTAATGGTAACAGGTAGGACAACATTTTTTTTTTGCAACTAAAAATGGAGGGCAGTGTCTAAAGAAACAAGTGAGCTTTGCTTCTGTCATCGCCCTTGTTATGTGTGCAGTTCGGGGTCGACGTTGTGACATGTGTCTCTCTTTTGGTTGAATCTTTGAGGGAATTAGTTTTACACTCAGGCATACGCGGATGTGCGTCTATTGTGTGTGTTTGTGTTAAGAGTGTTGTTTTAGAAGCACTCTTACAGGGAAGAGGACTTCAGTTCACACAGTTATTAAAGATTGGCCCTTACATCAGCACCATGGGGCTAATTTATAGGCCCTGTAAAGTTTCAGGACCACGGAGAGCAGCCACGTCTGCGTCAGGTCTTCCGGACATGTGCTTACGTGAAAACATAAGTAAATGTGGAGATATATGTGTATTTTATAAATGCACAACACTAATTAGTTTGTTCTGAGACTCATGGGCTCATCGTTTTAGCATAATTCAATACATACATGTGCATTGCTCTAAACTTATCCTATGTCTCTGATAGCGTTATTATTTCATTCCACAGTGGGAATATTTTATTGGACAGATATTCAGATTTGGTGTCCTGCTTTTTCCCAAGTTAGTACCTTTGCTGTTTGATTTACAGCAGCATTTACAGCAAGTATGTGTCAAATTGCTCATAAATACACTGCGGTCAGCAGATGTCGCTCTTTGTAAATACTGTCAGTACAACATCCTGTATCCGCATTCTTTTTGGCATTTAAGGCTAAACCAAACCAAACCAAACAAAACCAAACCATCACAGTCATAACTCCATCTAAACATTGCGAGTGGTGATAACCACACGTGTTAATATCCCTGTTTTAATTTGTGTCCAGTTAGGTTTAGTCATTTGTCAAAGTGTCCTCTCAGAGCTACGTTATCATGTGAACATATTCAATTATAACTGTAAAGACACAGCGAGGCACACTTTCACTGAATTCTCTCCTTCTCAAGTGGTTATAAATAGTTTCCCTCTGCTTTGGACCCGATATTGCTGCTGTTTTAGCTGTATGGATTTAATGCGGTGCTTCAACATCAGTTTTTTTAGAGGCAGAGCAGCGAATGTGACCTGAATGCAGGGCATGACTTAATGGGATGAGACGCAAAACTCATTCAAAACAGTCTCTTGAAGAAATCTGAAATGCTTTCGCAGCCTTAGTCATCGCAGCCATATGGTTTTTCTAGGCCCACCGGACTATATGCGGCTGCATTTTTTAATGTGAATCTATTTCTTTTCTTTTTTTTTTTTTTTGGAGTGATGCCTTGGCTACAGTAAGATGCGATTTTGAGGAGGGACAGTCATGGATTTAGGATTTCGTTGGTTTCATTATAACGTGAGATCACCGCTGATAAAACACCATGGAGTGATTGACATACAGTAACTGGGTTTTGGGAGTGAGGAGATCGACCCTTTGGTCCATCGGTTGCCTGTATCTCAGTGCTCCAATCCTGCGTTTTTGTTGACGGAGCCCCTTGGCAATCGGCATTATTTTCTCTCCGTCTGTGGCTAGTGGGGGAGGCGGAGAGAGAGCCGCGGTGGAAGGCGCCGTATTAGCGTTATAGCTGCCGACCAGAAATATTCTTTTATTTTTTGGAATGAAACGTGGCTTATGTTTTGCGGCCGGACTACCAAACTTGTGGTTCACTGCAGCATTTTGCGTCTTTTTTCCCTCCGCTGCAGATGATACGGAAAACCATCATAGCGGTACCCCACCACTGCAATTTTTGGGCAAAGATAAGAGTGGCGTCGTCTTGCAGTTAAGGCTACTATGGCAGCATAGGGGGCATCTTCTGGAGGGGAGAATCCGCCAATTTCCTTGCTTAGCCTATCTACGATGCCTTATTATTAGCAGAAAGCAGTGACTGGATTTGAAACCCAGCATCATCCCGCGGTTTCCCCCGTTTCAAAGCTGCTGTTTACCCATTGAAAATCACTCGAAAAAGCAGCGGATCCCGATGGCATGGACACTTATGCAAGGTCTGCCGCGCTGCCGTGCTACTGGAGCCTACTTGCTGTCTCTTCATTCAACCCAGCTCCATCGCCATCGCCCCGCAGCCGAGAGAGCCCTGCCGCAACGCGACCAGCGACCACCGAGCCAAAGCAGGCGGCATGAGGCTTGATTCAGTACATTTATCCATGCTGGTCATCGGGGTCTCATTCGCCTGCTACTCCCCGAGTTTGAATTCCCTGCAGGACCAGGCTTACAAATCCGCCGTGGTGATCGAGGGCAAGGTGCAGTCTACGCCTGTGAACGTCTCCGCGGAGCCGTACCGTGTGAATGTCAAAGTGCTGGATGTTTGGCCCCTAAACAGCGGGGGTCTGGAGCGAGAACAGCTCGTCACCGTAGGGGAATTTGGATCTGAGGCTCCGTGCACCAAAGTGAAGAAGAACCACAAGTACATTTTTTTCATGGACCCCACTGACGAGCCCTTGGTTTTCAAGGCATCGTTTGCGCCTCTGGACACGAGTGCAAAGAACCTAAAAAAGGATGTTGGGAAGATCTTGTGTGAGGACTGCGGTAAGTTAATGTATTGTGGATTACCGGTCAAGTCCAACCCGGAAGAATGAACGGTCTGTTAACAGCCCGCTGGCTTAGGGGGCTTTTGGTAACAGGCACTCTGGTGAATTGTGGTTATTATGGCCACGGCATGGTTTGGAGTCAGTGGGTACCAGATAGGTGCCTAAGGGGCGTCTATGCAGCAATTTTCGACAACTCTCGCAGGCTCCCATAGCCCACATGATCAATCAAACTCTCTTTCTCTCTCCCATTCTCTTTCCCCCTGAACTGCATCAGACATGCGCCTCGCACTGTTGCTTATGAGGAATTGCAGTTGGTGTGTATCGAACTATCTGCATCCTGCAAACCCGCATTATACTTTAAAGCTTTTAGGCGCATTCTAGCTCATCTTTCACTGTTCTAGGCTTCACATATAGATTTGTGTTTTTTTAGAAATTGTCACGGCTTTCTTCTGTGAACACCGAGCACATGCATTTGATGGACCCGGTACAATTTCAGGACCAGGGACAGCGGCCTGTATCACCGCTATCACGTGTGGAAAATCAGGCTGCCCTAAGCAAATTGGTTCCTGGGCTATATTTAGGCTCACGCCCTGCTTTAATGCTTTAATACCCCGTACTTTGGCATAGGCTGGCGTAGTCCAAGTCCTGTATACACACATACATCTTCTAGTGCAGGCAGAGGGCTAGTAGTGGGTGTTGTAGTCCTTACCTGGAATCTATGGGGTTGTTGTTGTTGTTGAAACTATCAAATTATCAACTTAACCACTCAACACTTGAGGGTTTTAGTTAAGAGTCATGCCCGAATTGTTCAGGACTGGACTTTGGTCAGTAGATGTCGCCCTTAGGGAATCATTTTAAAATCACACCAGTCACATTTTATGTGTAACAAGTCGTTATTTATTTTTTTAGTATATCCATTGTCACGGATGATATTCAGGTGTATTTATATTGTTATATATGCTCGCCCCCCTCCTCTCCCTCCCACGTGGCTTATTGTAAGATTTCACAAATGAGAATCAAGGCTGATCATTTTGTCCAGGCTATGGAAGTTGAAGAAAGTGATCAGGAGCAATGCTGAATATGGCTTCACACATTCATGTACATGTGTAGGAGGATGCAGAGACACACATTTTCTCTTTTAAAATTGTGCATTGTTTAGTGACAGTATTCATGGGGCTAAGAGCTGCTTGTCTTTCTTGCTCTCCACCGTGAGTAAAACTAGTCTCTGCTCCTTTAATTATAAAGTAGTGTCAGTGTCTGTAACTGGATCTCAAACACCTCGCAGTGCTTGTCACAGAGCCACTCCTTTACTTGTGTCTACAACTAATGTCCAACGCTGGCCAGCCTGCAACACAAAGCCAAAACGTGAGGCAGCTTGTCTTCCATACTTTGAATGTTTTGAGCCAGTACGAGCACATGTCACACATATAATAAGATATAATATTTTACTATTGTATGGTACACACATTTGTACTTCCACTCAAGTGTTGTGGCCTAGAACATGATGTGTGCCCTGTACCGCCGCCTTCTCAAATCCTCTTAGCTTGTACTCATGAGACACGAATGCTCCCCTCTCTTTTTGATTTTGCCACACTCACTCTGGCTTTTAAACTCATCATCCCATTAGAGAGGTAACACAAAATGGACCTTATTACCTCCTGAGTTCCTTGAACAGCCCAGACATCCCCCGTCAATTCTTCTGCCACTTAGCAAAGCTCGCCAGTGACGCGATCAAACTGGCACGGCCACCTCACTTTGTTACCTCAGAGAGTTGCCACACCCGCTTCCTGGGCCTCTGTAGATCTCTTTTATTTAGTTCAAAGTACCCAACAACATAGCTGATGTTGCTCGGGTGGGGCTTTGTAATTGAGGGACTTTAGTACACAGTGTAATTGATCTCATCACTGTTTATTTTCTGACCCTGCCTCCTCCCCAATCATGCCACTTTCAACATAGAGACAAACAGTTAGTCCCTTGACATTCTCTTGCACCTTTGAGCTCCCTCCTTTATTCAGCAGGGACTCAGGATCAACAATAACTGCTTCCTTCCCTCATATTAAGTTCCCTAACACCGTATCAGTGCATCTGTATTATGGGCCATTGTGTCTTGGCCTTGAACCTTGAACTGCTGCATAAGCAGCTTTGTCTGGGCCCAGACATTGATTCCAGGCCCACTTAGCACACATCTCAAACTTGCCTTGAATCCCTCTCGCGCACAAGCTCCCAAGTGTGTGCACCAGGGGACTGAACGTACATACTGTACAGCTCTTAAAGTTGTTGTCTTCTGGTTCCTAAGGGCTGGCTGAAAAACAGGCTACCTACAGCACTTAACCACCTGTACCCCTTCCTCAGGATCCAGTCAGCTGGGAGCTCTGGGTTTCCTGCCAAAGAAGAAAAGAAAACACCAAGACATACTGTTCTTCTGATATAGATTACAACAAACATGTGCAAACACAGGCTCTTTTTAAGCTATCAAATCTGTCTCTCATACTGGCTGCCAATGTCTCCAGCAGATCATGTTGTACCTGACTGATACTGCAACATTGTCTCTGGCATTATTGTACTGTAAAGAAAAGAAAGGGTGTATTCCAAACTGTAAAGTCTAGTACTGTATCTTAGCATAAACACATGACAGCAAGTATTTCAAGTCCAGTGCTGCTTTGTGACAAGTCACTGATGACAAAACACCATCTCCTGTAAGATGAAGTTTGCCTTAAGGAACATTTAATCCAGACACATGTTACACAGAGTAAGGCAATTCACAGTGGACCATGCAGTATAACTGCAGCCACCTCAAATGACATTATGAGGCCCTATGACCTATTCCTCTGTGCACACTTTTGTATTTACTCCCCTTTCTACCTTATTGGTATAGAAGTAGTGAACCAGGAATTCGACATCTCTTTATACACGTTTTCGTCCACTTGTCATAAATTAAATCTAATCCATTCAGACACTGAGTCCTTTTCTATGACAGAAGACAATGTTTGCATATTGTTCATTATCTTCTCTTACCAAACTGTCAATCGTGTGCTGTGTTATATACCATGCACTGCTTTTTTTGAGGGTATGAGATGAGACGACAGAAAAGATAATGACATCTACCTTAATGAGAGTGGATATGTTTTCAGGACTAGAACTAGAACTGTAATTTCAAGTATGTCCCATCTGCCTTTAAGCCGTTACTATTAGCATAACAATAGTGTTTTTGTCCTTCATGGCTCAGTCTAAATCAAAAGTCTGTATAATGAAACAAATGCGGTATGCGAGGCCCGTGGCGTTTTATCTATCCATAGACCCCATGGAGGTTGCATTTTGTGTGTGCATGTGTGTGGGTGTATACAGACTTGTGGGAGCATTGTATCAGTAAAAAAAAAAAAGACAGTACAAATCAGTACAACACTTACGCACAAAAAAAAGTCATCTGAATGGAGAAGTAACACATCGCCCAAAAAACGCCTTCATACTTGTAATTACCAAACGTGCAAATCAGTCTCACTCTTGTGAGTATTTATTTATTGCTCATTAAGCCTTGTATTTTTCTCTGACGTAAATGAATGTAACAATGTTCTTGTGAATGCACACTCTATCACTGATCTGTCACTGTGAAGTCCCACTGTATGCAGGTCGCAGCTGCTGCATTGAGGTGGTAGACAGGCAGAATTCTGCCCCGAGCTATGCATCTTTCTGTGAATTGAGAGTTCCTTAGAAGAGCTAGACATAGAACATGAATGACAGCTGCTGATGGCTAATGGGTTCTGCTCTTAGCCCATAGGTTTATCTGGTGGCGTTATGAATCCACAACCACCTACAGGTTGGTCATTATAACCCTAATAGCAAAGTACATTCAAGGGCAACGTAGCAAGCAGTTGATTGTGACAAAGGTGCTCATTTACTTTATTTAATGCCCAGATTATTGTTGTACAGGATGTGTGTTTGTTTAGATAAGTATGATTGAAGTGTTTTCAACTGTCAGTGCTGTAGTGTCTCTCGCCCAGGGCAGAGGTAGATGCTAATGAGATTGACCAGCTGGATTTGTTTCAACTGAGGTTATAGTGTATGTTTATGGGGACTGTTTTTCATGTTCACCGGGTCATTTACGCGGACAGCTGAATCTCCGCTATGCTACTCTATGCTAACAACATATCTTGATGTATATTTATAAGATGTATGAAAAAAGGGCATGGCCATTTCCAGTAATTGGCCCCTCATTTTTCTCTCCTATTAGGCACTTTCTCACAATCACTCAGTTTTGTACTCCACATTTCTAAAGACATAATTTTACAAGCTATCATTATGGCAGGGTGAGCACATTGGATCGCTGACTTTTGTGTGTACAAAAGTCACACTTCTGCAGTGACAGACCAGTTTTCATGGTAGAGTTGAGGTTTGCTGATTCAGGTCATGGTTGATACCTGTTTGCAGAGCACAGCTGTTACAAAACAGAGTGGTATGCTTGGAGCCTTTCAGTCACTGGACTTTAATACCACCTAAAAATATAAAGTCAGGGGGATTTCATCAGGTGTTGTTTGTGATGGCTGCTACAACCTATGTAAAAAACCCAGCCGATACCGATTCTGATACCAGGATTTTGCGCATCTGCAACACATGTTACCGATTATTATTTTTTAACAAGCGTATACTACTAAGCCTGTATTATTGCTATCATTGTTGTATGGCCTGGCTCAGGGCAAACCTTCTGTCAAAGTCACAGTCAAAGTATGGCGGGTCATCACTTTGCTATCCTAGCCGGGGGGAAAAAAGACGAAGAAAACACTGCTGGGAAGTAGCAGGGCCCTGTTAAGAGCTTATAGGGTGTCTGTTGGTTCATTTAATCTGTAAAGGACTGTGCAGCTCTTAGGAATGATGCATGTTTGTTGAGGCTAGATGACGAATACAGTAGTGTGGAATTTAAATGCCTGTTCTGCTCCAACTTTGGTCTTCTCAGCATTTACTTTGAAGCCCTTTACATTCAGCAGTTCTTTAAAATTGCATCAG